GAGATGTGATTTTATGTGAGAGCTTTTTACTGTAGCAAAAAAATTAGATGTGACTGTTTCTGAGAACTTTTTACTGTAGCAAAACTCAAATTCTAAACTCAAATCGGTGAAGTGAACGGGGCAAAGAATAATGCATGTGTTTCATGCATCAATGTGTACTCTATTTATTATATCCTATTTACTTTCATATTATTGATTGTTTGTAAAGCAAACTAATGCATCAAGACCTTTGGCCGTGGCTCTCTCTCTAAACGATCGATTCTATAGATAGTACTGAGCTGGATAAGACCTTCTTGTTCCCTGTTTGGCAGCATCCGTGAATATACCCTCCAACCGGACAAGGCGAACACTCATACATGCACCACCAAACAAAGCTATACGGTGGTTCCACACTGTGTGGGCCATAGTTGGAACACGATAATTTCCACCATTAAGCAAATACGGTACGGACGCCATTGTTTTACAACACCTGTCATGTTGCCTAATGGAGTCGTACATCCCGCATACGTGGGTCCTCAGTGGGTTATAGATAAAATCCAAATCTAACGGCAAACAATAAATACTCCAGGGTCATTTATTAAAGTAAGGACAATTTCTCCACCAAACTCCAAATATTCCATTTATTGCTCCCTATCAGCCTAACAAACTTGAGCGCTAGAGTTCCTTTAGCCGGCACCACACCGGTGTTCCCTTCACTGCAGAGCAATCTCTTATTCTCATGCAGGACAGAGTCCACGGACTCGAGTAATAATCAGAGCACTGACCAGGAAGCGGCGGAAATATGAGTTTGAATACCATGCTCCCTAACACATTGGTGTTGAATCAGCTCAGACATCAACAAAGACTATTAATATTTATATTAAATCATGAATTTTACATATATAGGGTTTATAAGCATCTATGTATGATTGCAAGATGAATGTCTAAATATATAGGGTCCGTTCATTTCGCTGATTTGAGTTTGTAATTCGAGTTGAGATGTGTTTTTTTGTGAGAGCTTTTTACTGTAGCAAAAAAATTAGATGTGACTGTTTCTGAGAACTTTTTACTGTAGCAAAACTCAAATTCTAAACTCAAATCGGTGAAGTGAACGGGACATAGTTTGTAACTTGTGGAATAAAGATGGACATTTTGATAAGATTATTATGGGGCCCTACTTCTAATTGGGAGATAATTTATCTTGATTAGCCAAGTGGGTACTTTAAGATAAGGCTATTTTGTACAGACACCTGCTGAACTTTTCGAATTTGGTAATTTAGTCTCTATTTTTTTTTTTCTAGCAATTGGCATTTTCAACTTGAAAATATTACAATTAAGGACTAATTGAAAACGACATATGTTTTTCTGACGACTTAGATCACGTGATGTGCATGTGAGTGTCTATTAAGGACAAAAGACCATTTCTCGCCTTATTGATTTGGTTAAATTAATGTCAGAGTCATCTAATATATCTGAACATAATCAATTACGAGAAACAACTCTTAGTTTTTAAGGGTTAATTGCCCTTAAAAGATGCTCTAAGAGTGAGACATGACCTTAATGTCATCAACAGACTCACGTACGCGTCACCTTATTGTAAATATTTTTCAAGTTGAAGAGGTCATATCGGACTAGACCTAAAGTGTAATAAATTCTACAAAGGGATAGTTTGCAACAATCCTTATAATAGAGCTTTAAATTTGGTTCGGCCTGAAGTCCGACATTATTGGCCTTATACCGACCCGATTACCCAAACTCCTCAACCAAGTTTGGGCCAAAGTTTCGAGCCTGAAATCTTATTTAGGCCCGTCGGGTTTGGCCGGGCTAACCTTTCTTGATCTATAAAATATTAAACGAAAAAACTCCTATCGTTATGTTTTTTTCACATAAATGACACAATACCACACAAATAGTGAGGATCATTAGCAATTGTCCATTGTTAGCTTATCTTAGTGCAGTCAAACAAAGTGAATAATGAAATTAATATTTTTCATAAAATTTATTTTATTTTATTTTCCTTAACAATGTGTATTTTTAAATTATATTCTTTTAAGTCTAAATTAGCTTTAACCATAATTGAGATACTAAAATAACTACATCTTAATTATATACAAAATTTCCATTAAATTATAATAAAAGGAGATTTTTGTTAATGTTTATAACGGGAAATGCATGTTATGTTTTAGAGGTTTAGGGCGCACTATTATAAGGATTATAATTGAGAGGAAATTTTTGTAATTAATCATTTATGTTATATTGCTTTTGTTAACCTCAAAGGTAGAATTAAACAGCTTAATTAAAAGCCAATCAACTATGGTAAATCACGCCTTTCCATCACCTGACAAAGGGTTGAATAGTACCTCTTTTACTTCAACAGGAGCCATGTGTAGCCTTTTCCATACGTTACTCTATTTGGTTTTAATTTTAATTTTTTTAATTTCAAGTCTCAACCGGTTGCCAAAAAAAGAATAATACAATGTTCTTGGATGCCCTTGTCAAATGCTCACCGTTGGATGTTATTTAAATGATATTAATATGCGACACCATACAGATCCCGTCCAGATACGTTTTGGGGAATTTGTAGAAGACAGGCCGTTGAAATTAACCAATGTGATTTAGATAATGGGAGAAAGAGATAAATAGGTTAATATTTGAGATGAATTAAAATTAATAGGTTAATAGTTTACATAAGTTAATAAATAAGTTAAATTACTGTTTTTGTTCATAATTTAACAAGTTATTGTCCATAATTCACGGTTTTTGTCCATAACTTATCTGGTTATGAACCATAACTTGATAAGTTTGTCCATAACTTATCTGATTATAAACCATAACTTGACAAGTTATGGCCTATTAATTTTTATAACTAAAAATTAACATATATACTTTCTTAAGCTTTTCATATTGCCCTATTTTCTACTATTTCCGTTGGATAATCAAAGTGATGAAATCCAATCTTCATTGGATTAAAAAATTAACAGTTCAATTGGATTATATGGGCTTCAGTTTTTGAGTATCAACGTATTAAAATACTTCGGTTACCAATCCAATCAAATTCAGAGCATGTTTAGTTCGCTGATTCAAATTATTAATTCGAGTTAATATGTGACTTTATGTGAGAACTTTTTACTGTAGTAAAAAAAAAAAAAGAAGAAGAAGAAAAAATATGACTGTTTCTGAGTGTTTTTTATTGTAACAAAACTCAAATCGGTAAAATGAACGGGGTCTCAATGTATGTACTAAAAAAAAATCCTATATGTTATTAAAAAAATATAAAATTTTAAGTGTTTCAAATGTTATACCCACACTCATATTAAATCAATTTCACGTTGAAAATCCTAGACTCTAATAACTTTAGTTTTTACATTTTTTTTTGCCTCCACGCCTTTTCTTATTAGTAGTTTTTTTTTTTTTTTTTTTTTTTTTTTTTTTTTTTTTTTTCTTTTCCCCACGTGCCGATCCGTAACACATGAACAGCTTATTAAAAATACAATTTTTAATGTTTTTTTTTTAAGTTTATTTTTTAAAAAAGAATATATGTAAAAATAACCTTTAAAATGATAGAAATTACACACAAAAAGGTAGGAATACATTTAAAGAAAATTATTTTAATCATTTGTAAAAAATAAAATAAGAACACATGTAAGAGAATTATTTTTATAGGAGTAAAGTGAAAAAATATATATTTTTAAAAAACATATAAAAAATTAAAATACAAAAAAATTAAAAAATAAAAGCAATTAAAAATAAAAAATATAGATAAAAAAGTAAAAAAGGAAAAAAAAAAGAAGAAGGAGGCAAAAGGAGATGATGTAGAAAAGAACTTTGACTTTTTTATGTTTTGTTAAATTACATTAGATTTAAAAAAGGCTATTATTATTTTGATTATATTTAACGGTTAGAAATTAAGTCTAACAATAAAGAGACCCCAATACGAAAAAATCTTAAAAAAGGAAAATACAACAAAATGCAAAATAAATATTCACAAAAAAAGAAAAAAGAAAAAAGGAGCATTAAAAATGCTCTTTTTTATTTGACTATATCTAACGGCTAGATATTGATCCTAACGATAAAGTGATACTACTAGAGAAAGTCCTAAAAAAAAAAACACAACAAGAAAGTCAAATAAAGATAAAAAAAAAAAAAAACTAAGAAGCAAAAAGAAAAAGATGAGTAATAAAAAGAGTAAAAGGCCCTCTTCTCGGTTGCCGCTATGTGACAATATGAGAGAGGTGAATTTTTGTTTTGTTTTGTTTGTTAGATTAGACTAGGTTAGATAGAAAAAGCTTTTTTTTATTTTAATTTGATCATATCCAATGTTTAGATGATAAAGATGTCTTATGAGAGAAAGTCTTAAAAAAGTAAAACAAAAAAGAAAGTTAAATAAAAATTAGAAAAAGAAAAAAAGTACTAAAAAGACTCTTTTATTCTGACTATATTTAACAGTTAGAAACTGACCTAACGATAAAAAGGTCTTATAAAAAAAAGTAAAAAAAAGAAGACTAAATAAAAAAAATAAAAAGAAAAAAAAGAGAAGATAACCTTTAGCTCTTTTTTAATATGTATTAATATAGATATAGATGCAGATATATATGTTGGTTGGTTCTTAGATGTACGAGACTTATATGTGTTAGCATGTAATTGGTTGGATTAGATATAACATGTCAAATTTCAATATAAGCATGAGAAAATTGGAAATTTTTTTTTTTCTAAAAGTGCATAAATCATAATTTTTACTCTTTATTTTTAGTAAATATTTTTTTATTAGCGTAATTATTTAACAAACAGTTATAAATTAAGAGTAAATAATAAAAATTTTAACCCATATATTTTTAAAAAATATTTGTTAAGATTACTCATATAACATTGGATTGAATCGGTACAAAAAAGTATTAGATTGAATTGAATTGGATACTCACCCAACTTTCAAGAAAATATCTTTCTAAAATAGGAATAAGAAAAAATATATATAAACTGCCAAGAAACGACATTCTGTCTGCATATATGACCAGTGACGCCCTTTTCCATCAACGCGCGCAATCCGTATGCATATATGACCAGTAACTCAGGCGGATCTCCCAATGCTGATCCTCTCTTCTTCACTGACCAACCCAAGATGAACAACAACAATAACAATAGCCGCAACAATAATAATAATAATAATATTTCCCCTGGATTTCTCTCATCAGCAGTCCTCGAACTTTCCGAACCCGATCGAGATCTCATCCTCCCCTGCTTCTCTTCTGTCCCAAGGCTCGAACACATCTTCTCTTCGCTTTCCGTTTCTCTTCCTGTTTTCTTCAGCCATGGAAGTTCCTCTCTCGCGGTTCCAAAGCTTAGCATCTGATGAAACCCTTAGTTGTAGCAATAGCTGGGGTTTCCCATTTTCTCTCCCCGATTCTGGGCTTTTTAAGGGAAGAAAACGGAGGAATCCGTTTTCTCGCATACGGTGTTCGTCGGCCATGGAGCAGGGGCTAAAGCCACGCCCGAAGCTGAAACGCCTGGGAATCGATGTTGGCGAGAGGAAAGACGCGGTTTTGGAGGAGACCCAGATGAGGAAACCGAACCCCGGGATTTGTAATCAGATTGAGAAGTTGGTTCTGTACAAAAGGTACCGAGAGGCGCTTGAGTTGTTTGAGATTTTGGAGTTTGGTGTTGTTGGCGGTGGTTTTGAAGTAGGTGGTAGTACTTTTGATGCTTTGGTGAGCGCTTGCATTGGGTTGAAATCGATTAGAGGAGTTAAGAGGGTTTGTAATTACATGGCTAAGAATGGGTTTGAGCTTGATTTGTATATGAGGAACAGGATACTGCTGATGCATGTTAGATGTGGGATGATGCTCGATGCCCGCAAGATGTTCGACGGAATGCCCGAGAGGAATTTGGTTTCATGGAACACGATTATAGCAGGGCTCGTGGATTGCGGAGAGTTTGTGGAGGCGTTCAGGCTGTTTCTGATTATGTGGGAGGAGTTTTCTGATGGCGGGTCTCGCATATTTGCTACGATGATACGGGCATCTGCGGGGCTGGGACTCGTGTTTCCCGGAAGGCAGATTCATTCTTGTGCTTTGAAGATGGGTGTGGACCAAGACGTTTTTGTGTCTTGTGCGCTGATTGATATGTATGGTAAGTGTGGACGCTTAGAAGACGCTCAATTTGTTTTTGATGAGTTGCCGGAGAAGACCACGGTGGGATGGAATACCATAATAGCGGGTTATGCGCTCCACGGTTATAGTGAGGAGGCTCTGAGCTTGTATTGTGAGATGAGAGACTCTGGTGTCAAAATGGATCACTTTACGTTTTCTATAATCATAAGAATTTGTGCAAGATTAGCTTCATTGGAACATGCTAAGCAAGCTCATGCGGGTTTGGTTCGTCATGGATATGGTCTAGATATAGTGGCCAACACCGCACTCGTGGACTTCTATAGCAAATGGGGAAGAATAGAAGATGCTCGTCATGTTTTTGACAAAATGGCCAGCAAGAACATTTTATCGTGGAATGCATTGATTGCTGGATATGGTAATCACGGTAGGGGCAATGAGGCCATTGAAATGTTTGAGAAGATGCTTAAGGAAGGCATGAATCCCAACCATGTGACTTTTCTTGCCGTATTATCCGCTTGTAGCTACTCTGGATTATCGGAACGTGGATGGAACATTTTCGAGTCAATGGGAAGGGATCACAAGATTAAGCCTCGTGCAATGCATTATGCGTGCATGATTGAATTACTTGGTCGAGAGGGGCTTTTGGATGAAGCATATTCCCTAATAAGGGCAGCACCCTTCAAGCCTACAGCCAACATGTGGGCTGCATTGCTGACAGCTTGTCGGATCCACGAGGATTTAGAGATTGGCAAGCTTGCAGCTGAAAAACTCTACGGAATGGAGCCCGAGAAGCTGAGTAACTACATTGTGCTCTTGAACATCTACAACAGTTCTGGCAAGTTGAAGGAAGCTGCTGGTGTTGTTCAGACTTTGAGAAGAAAGGGCCTGCGAATGCTCCCAGTCTGTAGTTGGATTGAAGTCAAGAAACGGGCTCGTGTTTTCTATTCAGGAGACAAGACTCACACCGAAACAGAAGAAATCTACCGGAAAGTGGATGAGTTGATGGCGGAGATCTCTAAACACGGTTACATTCCCAAGCAGAAGTCGCTGCTTCCTGATGTGGATGAACATGAAGAGCGTATACTGACGTACCACAGTGAGAAACTGGCGGTGGCATACGGGCTGATTAGTACTTCAGATGGAACGTCACTGCAAATTGTGCAGAGCCATCGAGTATGTGCCGCCTGCCATTCCGCGATTAAGTTGATCACTATGGTTTCTGGAAGGGAAATTGTCTTGAGGGATGGCAGCAGATTCCACCATTTCAAGGACGGTAGTTGTTCTTGTGGGGATTATTGGTGATGGCAAACTTAATTTCATTAGATTGGATGACTTTGTTAACTGATATCTTGTACGGTTTTTCTGCTCCTAGAGATTAAGAATGTAAAGCATAAAAAGTTTCTCTAGTAAATTCTTTTTGACTATATTGAAACCAGAGTCCCTTTTCCAAGTGTCTGCAATTTTTTTTTTTGGTTTTTTTTTCGTACTGCGAGAATTAGTTGTTGTTGTTGTTTTTTTTTTTTTTTGTTTTTTTTTGTTTTTTTTAAGTTTTATCGTCAATGGAAATCAACGCTCTCTGGCACATACCTCTTTGCTAATTTTCCAGCAAAAAGTAGTAATGAATTAAAGATTCTCACGTCTTATAACTCATGGTAACTGAACATCCTGCTTGTGCCAAAATAAACTATCCAAATTATAAAACTAACCAAAGTATAAACTTAAAAGTTTGTGTTTAGAACTGTTTTTGAAAACAGTTTTCACGTATTTTGAGAAGTAAAAAATGAAAATGAAAACGAAACGACGTTTGTTTAGCAAATGTTTTGAAAATGAAAATAAAAATAAAAACAGTGAGAATAATTTTTATGTAGGAATTAAAAAACAGTTAAAAATTGTTTTCACTTTTTTGTTTATATTTTTTAATATTTATCAATAATATTATAATATATTAATTAATAAACATGATTTTACTTTTTTGTTATACTTAAAATAATTTCTTAAAAAAACTAATCAAACGTAATTTCAGAATTAGTCTCAACATGATTTTTAAAATAATCTCATTTTTACTTTTTATTGAAAATAAAATCATTTTAAAACTAATTCTAAACGCACTCAAAATATTCTTGATACTCTTTTACTAAAAAAATTAAGGTGAAAATGCAAATAAAAGTTCAAAATAATAGAATAAAAAGGGAAAAAACCTGATAATAGATAATAAATAGATAATATAGACAACATCTAACAATGATTTTCACAATCTTAAATATCTTATCTATCAAAATTAAGATTAATAGCATTTGTTGGACGGGTAGGGCGGGCAACTTGATAAAAAAAAAGCCGAAAAAATAATTAAAGAAACAAAAAAAAAGAGAAATAAAACAAATAAAAAAAAATTGTCGGCTGGATCCATTTGCAGCTCGAACGGTTTCAATTTTCAAAAAGAAAAAAGAAAAAAAGTATCGGTATAAGCTTCCCTCTAAATTCTACACCATCCAGGCATCCACTACCCGAGGCCCCACAAACCGGTCCATCCTGAACCGCCAACGCAAGAAAACCTGACCCAATTTTGGCTGTACTAAGATCTCGTTAAGTTTACATATTTAAATTTTTAATTTAAATTTACATATAATTTTATGTAAAAAATTTTTCTGTAAAAAAATTAAATATAATTTTTTCCTAAGACTAGAGATCCAATTTTCTCCGCTCTATATATAACTATACACACATATAGGTCTCGTTCTTTATTTGAGTTTTGTTATAATAAAAAATTTTAAAAAATAATCACATTTAATTTTTTTATTACAGTAAAAAATTCTCATACAATATTATATCTCAACTCAAATTAGCAAATCGAACGAACCCATAATATATATATATGACTATTTAATTTATTAATTTAAATTTTTAATTATATGAGAGTTTTTTATTATAATAAAAAAATTAAATATAATTATTTTTAAGAGTTTTTTTATTATAACAAAATTTAAATTTGGGTAATAAAGGAAGCATATGGTATAGATTCTCATTTATCAAAAAGGAAAAATTATATATATCTCGCAATCACCGTCTGTCTCTCTGTCTCTCTTGCTGCGTTTATGATACAGTTCTCTCAACGGACGCTGGCAAGAGAGAGAAACCAAAAAAGACGAACTCTTTCTCTCTCTAGGGTTTGGTGTCTTCCCCAATCGCCTGCAATCGCAGCTCGGTGAGAGCTCCATGGATTATCTGCCAAGGTCCAGCTGTTTCGATATATGCGAGGTTTATCGGCGGTACTGCGGTAATTTCTCTTCCTATTTCGTGTCTTCTCTGTTCGTCCTCGGTTTATCGGCTCGTATGGTTGTTGATTAGAATTCGATGTTGAATTTCTTCCTTCAAGATTCGGTTTTTAGCGTTATCGTAGTTTTAGGGACTTTTTGGCAGTGAAAATTTGTGCTTTGGTTTTCCTTTTGCTTTTAGATAGGCTATTTTCTTGGTCGATAGGTATAACTGAGAAAACTTGGTAAAGCGTGGAAATTTAGGGATTTTTTTTGGCACATCTTGTTGGCAGTTGGGGTTTTAGGTTTGAATGCTGTGAATCGAGTTATTGATTGTACCGATTGAGATTTATAGCTTCCGATGTTATCCAATCTTGAGCCATACTTACTGATGTAATACGAGTTTGGACTTTCTGCAAATGTTAAAGAAAATGGAAAAGAAAAGGAAGAAACCGCTTACATGATTCCAGATGTAGTGGTTATTTCATTTTAGTTATTTTGTGAATTCAACTTGCAGATATCAGGTCAGGAAATCTGCATTTTCAAGGGGAAGAAGGTTATAGAAAAAGTGATGAATCACAAATGGCTCAATGTTCGAGGGAGGCATTCGCTCAGCTTTCGCAACTGGTAGAGTCAAGTCTGCATGCAGATGCTAGGTATGCTTCATCCGTCAGCCATTTTAGAACTTGGAGTGCCTTCAGGGTGGCTATTTAATTGGTCATCCTATTCATTTTTGTGTTTTTAGGACGTACTGGTCTTTAAGACAACCATTAATAGAATATTCTTTAACTTGACAGGATATCTATTTTTGATGAAATTTGCAAGCTCATGTCACGACTTAACTTGATGGTAAGATTTGTGTTTTGTTTAGATAGACTGTCACTGCTAAGCTCTTCAATGAGTGAGCTCTATACTTTTGACTGCTTTGTTTGTCCCCTTCACTTGTGATCAGCATATTGTTTCTCTCTCTCTTGGAGTCTTGATGATAATTGATAAGCATAATTTAGTAAAAGGGTTCCTTTTCTCGTTTGCAGATAGATTTTTCTGAATTCTCGCGCTTCTACGATTTTGTTTTCTTTGTGTGCCGTGAAAATGGTCAAAAAAACATTAGTAAGTTTTTCTCCCTTTCTTTGATAGAATTCTTCCTCAAAATAAAATCAATCTTTTTTCTTTTTTTATTGTTCATTATGATATCTATACAGGACACAGTGTTTCATGGATATTCTAGTTGACCTCCTTTTTTTTCCATTGTTATTATTTCCAGCTGTAAAAAGGGCTGTTGGTGCGTGGAGATTAGTTTTGGCTGGGAGGTTTCGATTGCTTAATCAATGGTGTGATTTTGTTGAGGTATGATGATGTTATGAATGCTTAATGCTTTCTGTGTTTTTTTTTTTTCATCAGTGCAGAAATCATTTGGCCCCAAAAATAATGGGGGTATTATTATAGCCGTGGGGTTCTAGATCTTTTTTTTTTCTCCTTTCTTAAAGGTGAAAGTCGATGATGCATTGGTGGAGACTTGGAGTGACTTCATTTGAAATGTTTGATATTTAAAACGTTCTGAATACCAGATTGGCTTATCTTGCGATTTGCTAATTGTATAAATTATATGGCATCGTTTGAATTATTACTGTTGTTGTTGTTATTATTATTATTATTTTTGTGGTAAAATGTTTATGCAACTGTGTGCTTGCTTTTTTTAGAAAACTTATTTCTTAGATCCTTGTAGAAAAATCAGCGGCATAATATCTCTGAGGACACATGGAGACAAGTGTTAGCTTTCAGCCGGTGTGTACATGAAAATTTGGAAGGTTATGATCCAGCAGGTATTAATTCCTCTCTGCCTTTTACTATGACTGACTAAGTTATCTTTTCTATTTATTCATTTTTTATTTCTTTTAATCTCCTGTTTGGTGCTGGGATGTTTTGTATAGCTTCGGTAGTTCAGAATACTATCGTGTTTAGTCAAGTAGGACGTCTGAAATAGAAAAAGATGCCTTAGAGACTAAATGAAGAATATTCTAAATTGTATGTTCTGATGGACGTGTTTTATCTTTCTTATTGTTGAATTTGGCTTTGATTGAGTCGTTTTCTTTTATTCATTGCTACAGGAGCCTGGCCTGTTCTAATAGATGACTTCGTTGAGCACATGTACAGGTTTGATATATTATTTCCACAGTATATTCTGTTACGGTATTCCTTTTTTCGGAACATGTTTCCTTTATTCACTTGTGCTTAAGATAAGTGCCCGTAGTTGGAACTCTGACTGTCACCCTTTGTTTTGCATCTGAGATTTTAATTATCCAATCCATCTTTCATCCTGCAGGATCTCCGGATCTAATGAAAATCCCAACTGTTTCTGTAATTGCGGAGAGCCGGAATCCCAGTCGTGCGCATATGATGACTCACTTCCAGGTATGTAACTTTTTGCAAAACATCCACGCGATAATTGCTACATTGACTGACAAGTTTAGTTTCTGTGTATTAAAAATCCATCCTGATGATACTGAGAATTTGAGGTTTTGTTGCAGGATTGAAAAGCTTACCTGGGTTGAAGAGAAAGTCCCTCGAGGACCTTGATAAAGATGACTTGGGATCCTTAATCACCATTTTCCCAGACAGTACCAACCTAAATCCTTTAGTGAGCTTAAAGAGAAATAGGTTGATGCCGTACAAAACGGCAAACTGGGAGGATGAGAAGATGGAAAACGACAACGTGGAGAACAGTAAATGTATTAGTCCTTTGAATGCTTCCAAATCTCCTTGTGCAATTGAAGGTTGTTTCTCAAAGGGCCTTGCAGGGCTCTTTCCAACGCGCTCATGTTTGCAGTTTAAAAGGGAGAGGCGAGTTTCCTTTGCACAGAGACAGAGACCCTCCAATGCTGAAAAAATATTGCATGCATAGGGTGATCTAATTTTTATCTTTTTTGTTTTATATGTATTTTTTTTTTTTTTTTTTTTGGTAACCATTAATTATTTTAATATGTAATCTTGTTTTGTACGTTTGTTATTGTTTGTTCTTTTCCTTTTGTCATTCTTGGAATTGTCTATTACGGGTGTGAATATCTTCAATGGCCATTTGATGATAAATAATAAAATTTGGTTATGCGTTTTTGGGCACTGGACGGTAAATATCCATTATATATCTTCTTTTTAGGATGATTCTGGACCTCGTCGTTTTTCCCAGAATCTTGTCGCGTTTAGGACGTTTTTCTACTTTATAACTTTTAGAATCACGACGCGTTTTGTATGATGTACTACGAACGATATTGTCGTTTCGTGAACGAAGTTCGCTTAATAGCATCTTGCCGTTTTAGAGAATTCGGTCGTTTCTGTGTCGTTTTGTAAACGAGTCTTTGTTTCGGAGATGATGTTGTCGTCCCTCGACATGGCCTTTCAGAAATTGTATTTATAGTTTTCTGGACAATGTCGTTTACTGATACTTTTTCCCAAGGCGATGACGTTTTCTAAATAACGTCGTTTGCTGAATGACGATCTTTGCTGTTTTGACCTTTTTTCCCTTGTGGTTGTTCTAGAGGGGGTACGATTTTTATTATGATATAAATTGCCTTTCTGTAAGCTAAAGAGGTTTTGTTTTCGAAAGGAAGTCGTTTTGCGATTGTGTTTGTTTCTAGAATGATTTCTTAATCCATATACAGCGGCTTCGAAATATTCTGGCTGCTTCGAAATGTGTTGGTTTGAATTTTTCTAGTTTGAACAAAAAAATCTGAACAGTGTGGTATAAATAGTAGTTTAAATTAACGTTTAAATGTGTATTTAAAATTTTAATTTGAACATAAACTATAATCTGAATTAGCGTTTAGATGACTCCTTAAATTGTAGTTTCAACTGAAAAAATAATAATATAATGCATAAGAAATAATATAACACCTACAAATTTATAATAATTAAAAAAAAATTTGTAGGCGTTTTTATTGGGCAGCAATTTTTAAGAATAAAAAAAGTAAGACAATGTATAAGAAATAAGAATTGTCTCTGGTACTTGAAATTGTGCCTAACCGGTCAGAACAATGAAAATTGACCATTGGATATGAATTTTACGTCCCAGATTCAACGAGAAAATTGTCTCTGTTAGTTGGCAAGGGCAGGGGTAAGCTAACTCTGTAGTCCGACAAAAGTAATAATAAAAAAATGCCAGAAAAAGACGTGTAAATATTGAATACTAGACAATTAAAAACAATTAAATTGAGGAAAGGGAAACGCACGTCGTTTTGCTTCCTGTAGACAGGTATTTGTTCATAGCTCTTAAGATGACTAGTATGCATCTGGATTTCACTCCCCGTCTCTCCGCCGAAGATGACTTTCCGGTGGGACTGCCTTTGAACTTGACTTCAGAATTAGCAATTCGTCTGACTGATCATTGAATGATGTCGGTGAAGCAGATGGGGTTTGGGAGGTTATTAAAGATGGCTGGTCGTCGTTTCCTATGACATACACTTTTATTTTGTTCATTTGCTTTAACTTTGTCATGCCTTTTGTTACGAAACTAATCTTTTGACATTCTTACACATATAATTATCTAAACATTTATTTACATTCGTTTCACCGTTACACCTTTTTTTTTATTGCACAAATTGAAATCTATAACTCAATTTAATGGTTTACTGTGTAAACATCTATGCCTGCAGGTTATTGTTCAAGATAGCACTATCATCTAATGTTAAAACATTTTCCTACTCCTAGTTATTTTATTTTATTTTATTTTATTTACACTGCTCTATGTGTTATATTTATTTCCTTGAACAACGGCAACCTCTAATTGCATTTCATAATTTGTTGTCTTTTTCATATGCATGCAGGCATTGATGGCAGAGCGCAATATCGTGCATTAGCTTCATCCAAATGTACTTTCTGGCTTATGATGTAGTCGGCTTAATCAAAAGCTTCACAAATCGGATTCTGTTATTTGGACTTCTTGCCTATTTTGCCTTTTTGGGAGTTTCTAAAATTTTTAATATATTTGTTGTACTGCACGTGAGATGATGCACTTTCTGGCTTATGACACACGTGGAAAATAATTTATATGTTAAGTTTTAATTACCGTGTTATTATTAAGACTATCACATTTGAATATAAAATCCCAAAAAAGAACTAAAATGAAAAAGTTTAAAGTTTTAGGGCAAGAAGTTAAAAAAAGGTGAAAAATTGACTAAAAAGAAAAAATAAATAAGTTTTAGGATAAAAGGGACCAAAACAGAGGAAAAATAAAGTTTTGAGGTAAATTAAAAAGGCATAAAAAAAGACCAAAATAAAAAAAAAACAAATAAGTTTTAGGACAAAAGGGATTAAAACCGGAAGAAATTAAAAAAAAGGGTAAAAAAAGACCAAAATAAAGAAATAAATAAGTTTTAGAGCTAAGGAAACAAAAAAAAGAAATAAAATTTCAAGACAAAAATTAAAGAAAAGAGGAAAAAGGATTAAAATTAAGAAATAAATAAGTTTTAGGTAAAAGGAATCAAGACGGAAAAAAAAGAAAAATTTCAGGAAAAAATTAAAAAATAAAGGGTTAAAAAATGACCAAAATGGGAAAAAAAAAGTTTTAGGGCAAAAGGAATCAAAAGGGGAAAAAAAAAGTTTTAGGACAAAAAATAAAAAAAAAGGTGTAAAAAATGACTAAAAAGAAGAAATAAATAAGTTTTAGACAAAAGGAACTAAGGTGAAAAAAGTAAAGTTTCAAGAAAAAAGAATAAAAGGGGTGAAAAAAGGACCAATACGAAGAAATAAATAAGTTTTAGGCAAAAGATATCGAAACGAAAGAAAAAGTAAAGTTTCAGGGTAAAAATAGAAAAAAAGGGGTTGAAAAAGGACCAATATGAAAAAATAAATAAATTTTAAGGCAAAAGAAACTAAAATGAGAAGAAAATAAAGTTTCAAGACAAAAGTATAAAAAGCTAAAAAATGATTAAAATGAATAAATAAATAAGTTTTAGGCAAAAGGAGCCAAGATAAAAAATAAGTACAGTTTCAAGAAAAAAATAAAAGGGGTAAAAAAAAAACCAATATAAAGAGATAAATAAGTTTTAGACAAAAGATATCAAAACGAAAGAAAAAGTACAGTTTCAAGATGAAAGTAAAAAAAAAGGTTAAAAAAGGACCAATATGAAAAAATAAATAAATTTTAGAACAAAAGAAATTAAAACGGGAAGAAAATGAAGTTTCAGGATAAAAATATAAAAAGATAAAAAAAGGATTAAAATGAATAAATAAATAATTTTTAAGGTAAAAAGTGAAATAAAAATAAAAGGTACGACTTGAAAGAAAAGGGGAGGAATTTTCGATCAAAACAGCACCGTTTTGGTCGAAAACGCTAAGTGCGATTGCGCTTTCTATATATTGTATAGACTATATACTTCTTCTAGTGTAGGTAGTAGTGTTGTTCACCCATCCTATTCTCTTGTGTTCCCTTCTAAGTTTTATTCAACATAGCAACTACTATTTAAATATGATATATATTATATGCATTTAAAGTTTACGTTAAAACTATTATTCACTCTTATTATACCAAACGATAATACATTTCAATGCTAGCACAATTACGAGAGTGTTTGTTTTACAATTCAAGTTAAAAACTTGAGTTGTCTTTTAATTTGATTTATGTTTATGAGAAAAAAATACTGTAATAAAAAAATAAAATTTAAATTTTTATAAAACAAATACTATAATAATAAAACTTATGTTGTGACTTGAGTCGTGAAAAGAACTAAACATACAATTCTAATAAGGGAAATAGTAGAAAATATGCCAATATGAAAAGCTTAAGAAAGTATATAGACCAATTTTTAGTTATAGAAATTAATAGGCCATAATTTGTCAAGTTATAGTTCATAACCAGATAAGTTATAGACAAACTTGTCAAGTTATGATTCATAACCAGACAAGTTATGGATAAAAATCGTAAATTATAGATAAGTTATGGTTCATAACCAGACAAGTTATAGATAAAAATAGTAATTTAACATATTTATTAATTTATATAAACTATTAACCTATTAATTTTAATTCATCTCAAATCTTAGCATATTTTCCTCTTTCTCCATTCTAATAATGTATACATATAAATACGTCATTTGTTCACTTATTCAAGTAATTGATACATGTTTAGAAAATAAATATACATTGTCGTTAGAGTTACGCGTTTTCTTTGATAGTAGTACGTATTCATATTATTTTAAAGATGCTTTATTACTTTATTACCATTCACCGAATAAAATACACATATCCCATTTGCCACCTTTCTGCCATCACTCCAGCTGTAAGAAACACAGAAAACCCATGCCTCTCTGATACAACCTTTGCTTAACACATGCAGTACCAAATTCATTAAACAATAAAACTATTAATAGACTAAGGCCGTTTAGTTTAAAAATTTGAGTTAAAGATATAATTTTATATGAAAATTTTTTATTATAATAAAAAAATTAAATATAATTATTTTTGAAATTTTTTTATTATAATAAAATTTAAAATTTAAATTTAAATTAGTGAAATGAATATGACTTATATAATTAAGGCTTTAATTCGGTACGGGACACTTTCCCAAAAGAAATAATCCAGCACCTAAAAATTTATTAAGAAAATTATTTATTTTATAATTAAGCCTGTGTGTAGGCATTTTTTTAATTCGGTAGCAAATTTATTTATTTATTTATTTATTTTTAACTTTTGTTACTAATGCCAATTAAAATTTTGGAACACTCATTAGTAACGGACAAAATCAGCAACGACCATTCATTACCCACAAACAGGGGCCATTTATTACTCAATGAAGCAAGTCTCTTTGCATAGCGAGAACCTTCTTGCTCTTCTCAATGTTGGCCTGAAGCGTCTCCTCCGACGATTCTTCATCATTGTCCGCCTCTTCTAAGTCCTTACGATCGCTCTCACAGCCTTACTATATATATATATATATATATATATGTTGGCCATCTAAAATTTTTTCAAAACTCAAATACG